CAGGGTCTTTTTTTTGTTCCATTAAATTTTTGGAGTGTTTGTTCTAGACCTGTGAAATATGCCATAGGTATTTTAATAGGGATTGTGTTGAATCTATAGATTGTTGTGGGCAGTATGGACATTTTAATGATGTTAATTCTACCAATGCATAAACACAGTATATTCTTCCATTTGTTTGTATTTTCTGTTTCTTTTTTCAGTGTCCTGTAGTTTTCTGAGTACACGTCTTTTACCTCCTTGGTTAAGTTTATTCCAAGGTATATTATTTTTTGTTGCAGTTGTAAATGGGATTCTTTTTTTAGTTTCTCTTTCTGAGAGTTTATTATTGGTATATAAAAATGCCATCGATTTCTGGATGTTAATTTTGTGTCCTGCTACTTTGCCAAATTTATTTATTAGATAGAGCAGGTTTTTTTGGTGGAGTCTTTAGGGTTTTCTGTTTACAATATCATGTCTCTGCAAATGAAGACATTTTCACTTCCTTCTTTCCAATTTGGATGCCTTTTATTTTTTCTTCTTGTCTGATTGCTGTGGTTGACTTCCAGTGCTATGTTGAATGAATGGTGAAAGCAGACATCCCTGCCTTGTTCCTGATCTTACGGGACATGGTTTTAGTTTTTGCCCATTGAATATGATGTTGGCTGTAAGTTTGTCATATTTAGCCTTTATTATATATTTTAATAAGGTATGACCCCTCTATTCCCACTTGGCTGAGAGTTTTTATCAAAAACGGGTGTTGGATTTTGTCAAAGGTAGTTAACTTTTCAGAATCTTGTTGGAAATTCTGAAGTTATAAGTAATGGCAAATAAATATTACTTGTACAATATCAGTTACCTACAATATTGATTTTCTTTGGTTGTTTTTTCTTTCTTTTTTAAATATATTTTTATTGATTTCAGAGAGGAAGGGAAAGGGAGAGAGAGATAGAAACATCAATTATGAGAATCATTGATCAGTTGCCTCCCGCACTCCCCCTACTGGGGATCGAGCCCATAACCCGCCATATGCCCTTGACTGGAATTGAACCCAGGACCCTTCAGTTTGCAGGCTGATGCTCTATCCCAGCCGTGGGCAAACTACGGCCCACGGGCCGGATCCGGCCTGTTTGAAATGAATAAAACTAAAAAAAAAAAAGACCGTGCCCTTTTATGTAATGATGTTTACTTTGAATTTATATTAGTTCACACAAACACTCCATCCATGCTTTTGTTCCGGTCCTCCGGTCCAGTTTAAGAACCCACTGTGGCCCTCGAATCAAAAAGTTTGCCCACCCCTGCTCTTTTCCCTCAGCCAAACCAGTTAGGGCTGGTTGTTTTTTCAGTTATAGTTGACATACAGTATTAATGTTAGGAGTATCACATAGTATGATTTTCAAATAATGGAAAATGAATGTTCACTGTACAGTATTAGTTACATAGGTCATTGATTATCTTTTGGAATTGTCATGTTTTCTTCATTGGTTCATTTTAATGGTCTTTAAGAGAGCTTTGTACGGCCTTTCTCATGACTTTGGTTCCCTAGTCTTCCTTTTTCCCTAAGATCTTAAGTACATCATTCATTCATAAAATTCATTTTTACTAAAGGCTTACTATATAAGATTGGGGATAGATAAAGCAGTGAGGTCACAGGAGAGAGCAAAAGAGGCAAAAATACCTGGCCTCCTGCAGCTTACATTTCAGTTGGGACACATAGGCCATAAACAATGTAAGTAAATTATGTGTTAGTTGGTACTAGAATAATGAGAAAAAATAAAGGGTCAGAGGCTTTGCAGTTTTAAATGATTAGGGAAGGTCTTATTGAGAAATTGCATCTGTACAGCGATCTGAAGGAGATGAGGGAGGGAGCTATATTGTCAGCCAGGGGAAGAGTATGGCAGCTAGTACTATGGCCCTGAGATTGAAACGTGCAGCATGCACAGCAAAGTCGGTGTGATTATGAGAGAGAGAGAGAGAGAGAGAGAATGAATTTGGGAGTGCCTTACATTCCATTCATTGTAAGGACTTTCCCTCTGCATGAAATGGGAAGTTGTTGAGGTTTTGAGCAGAATTCTAACACCAAAGTTTTCAGAAACACATCCTTGAAAATTGCAGAAGAAACACTGTATAAATAAATTATATTAAACATTATTCTCTACTGGAGTGCATGTTTTTATAATCAGTCAAATATATTTTAAAATATGCTGCCAATAAGTACTTACATAAGGAAAAATGTGTTGGGAAACTTCAGAGAAGTATTTTTTATTTTAAATGAGCCAGTCAATATGGGAAGATAGGTTTATTTTTGAGAGTTAACTTATATAGCTTTTTAAAAGGGGAGATGATCTGTTATGACATGATCTTTAAAAAAGTTAATTGTGGTGTCATAATTAGAATTATATCACTCCTGGTAACGTAGTGGTATAGGAGATGAACTGAAACATCTGGATCTTATTTCTTAACCTGTAGAGTACATGTTTACTTGAGCAATAATAATTTAGTTTTATGAGTATGGATAAGAAAGAAGAAGTTCTGTGTCTTTTCTATGAAACAGTTGCTCTTTCAAGTTAAGTAACCATGTAACTACAAATAATTTATGGTAAGTGCATTTTTTTAAGTTCCATCAAGTGTTGGTAGTAATTTTTTAGGTTCCAAATTATGAAATTTTTCTTCGGTGAAAGGGTAGTGTTTAATGTAGAGTTCAACTTGGAATGTCTTTGCCAGTGATTGGGCCTTGAGTGCATTTTCCCTTCCTTTTTCTTTTGACTCCCCTCGTGTCTCCACTTTCCCTGTGTTGAAGGAGTCAGCTCTTTTTTCCTCCTGTGTATCTTATTTTTAATCTCCTGTATAGTGTGTAGATAGGATTTAGTTGAGATCATCTTTGTTGACTACATTAGGCTAGATTAGTTTGGAAGAGTTACTAAAATAGTTGTTTTTGAGCAGTGAACTTTTTTGCCAAAATTGCTATATTGGACAAGTGATATTTCTTAACCTGGTTCTTTAGAGCTTTTTGCAATCTATATTTTCTTTGAACTGTATAGCCCTCTGTCCTGACCAGAATGTTTTATTTACTGTCCCCCAAATAATACTCAATAATCTTTAAGTACAGTGTATCTATAAGGTTTAAGTATGCCCCGGGCTTTTTCCATGTCTCCCTTTCTGGTTGTGCCATTTTACTTTCTTCAAATTCCCTTTGTCCTCTTCTCCACCTATGCAAATTCTACCCATATTTCAGAATCAAATTCATATCCAGCCTTTTCAATAAAGCCTACTGTGTACTTGAGCCTGTTTTTTTCTTCCTTTGAATTTTTACAGAAGTAATCAATCATTGGCAGTTGACCATAAACTTTTATTGCTAGCTTTGAACTAGTACTTTACTGGTATTAGTCAAGGCTCTCCCCATGGATGTGTGTCTGTCTATACACACATATAAAAAGAGACTTATTATGAGAATTGGCTCATGTGATAATGGAGGCTGACAGTCACAAGATCAACAGGGTGAGTCAACAAGATGGAGACTCACGCCCTAGCAGGTTTGGCTTAGTGGATAGAGTGTCAGCCTGCGGACTGAAGAGTCCCAGATTTGATTCTAGTCAAGGGCACATGCCCAGGTTGCAGGCTCGATCCCTAGTAGGGGCTGTGCAGGGGGCAGCCAATCAATGATTCTCTCATCATTGATGTTTCTATCTCTCCCTCTCCCTTCCTCTCTGAAAGCAATAAAAAATATATTTGAAAGGGTGGCGGGTACACAAGATAGAGACAGGAGAGCAAAGCTGAAGGTATAGTTCAGTCTAGGCTGGCAGGCTAGGGACCTAAGAAGAGCTGTTTCAGTCTGAGTCTGAAGGCAGGAAAAAGCCAATATCAAAGATGTCAGGCCAGAGATTCTCTTTTAATATTTAATTTCTTTTGCTCTTTATTCATGTGTCTTGTCTTGCCAGCTATGAGATAACTTGAGGGCAGGGGCGGCTGTAAGTCATATTTGCTTGTTTACCATCCATGGGTCTCTGCATCCTGACTTAATGTGTAGTAGGTGCATCTACACACTTTATAAAACCATTAACATTTTAGAGCTGGGAAGAGCCTTGAGGTTATTTTGTTTAGGAGTTGGGGAATCAAGAACAGCTTTAAAATAGGGAGATTAATAATATACCACGTTTCCTGATTGTTACAAGAATAAAATTAGATCATGTAATATGTGTGAAAAGTTTGATTCATTAAATAAAACTTTTGTTTTTTGTGTGTTTTTGTTGTTTTGCTTAGATCGTGAATCAAAATAGTGTGGTGTGTGTGTGTGTGTGTGTGTACGTGTGCGTTAATCCTCACCCAAAGATATTTCTGCCATTGATTTTTTAGAGAGAGTGGGCGGGAGAAGGAGAGGGAGAAAGAGAAAAACACCAGTGTAAGAGAGACACATTGATTGGTTGCCTCGCCCATCTCGCCCATGCACTCCTAGCCCCTGTCCAGGGCCAGGTATGAAGCCTGCAACTGAAGTACGTGCCCTTAAACAGAATTAAACATGAGACCCTTCAGTCTATGGGCAGATGCTCTATCCACTGAGCCAAAACAGCCAGGGCAAAATGTCCTTCAGTTTGGTAAATTAAACAATATTTCCTGGGTGGGGAATTGGCTTTTTTAAAACTTTTTCTTTATTTTATTTTCTTTCTCTCTTCATTTAAAAATGTATGTGATACATCAGTTACTCATACTCACAAGTATGTCCAAAGTGAGAATAGGTTTAATTTGTGATCATGTCATTGTTTCCTCAAAACATTATCTGACATGTTGAATTTACTGATTCCTATAGGATATTCCAATTATAAGGCATCATAACCAAGTGACAGCTTTAGGTTTGGACCTGACTGTATTGAAGCTGCAGTTTGAGGCTATAGAAATTGAAGTTATAATATCTAAACCCTAGAGTACTTTAATTTTAATTTAAATACTCTTCTTTAGAAGTCTAAGTTGTGGGAACCTGGTATTGATTGTTTTCAAGTGTTTTTATTTAACTTATTTTTTCTTCCTAGATTTTCTTATAGTCACATCTTAAAGCCTCCAAGATGGTACTAGCAGACCTTGGAAGAAAAATAACATCAGCATTACGCTCATTGAGCAATGCCACCATTATCAATGAAGAGGTATGTGAAATATATATTATTGCACATCATCTCTACCATTGGGGAGATGGATTATTAATAATCTCTATGTTTATATTTGTCTTGATGTTGATTTAATATGTGTAGATAAAAACCTAAAATGGGTATAATAGTGTTGTTTTTTATTGAGTCGACTGTCTTCCTATTAAAATTTCAACTTTCTTTGAAGAATTACAACAGAACAAAAACCTTAATTTATATGTAAAATGACATTTAATATTCTGAAATGTCTGAGATTTGGAAATATACTTTTCAAAAATACATATTTTTTAATTTATTTTAGAGAGGAAGGGAGAGGGAGAAAGTGGTGGAAACATCAATGATGAGAGAGAATCACTGATCGGCTGCCTCCTGCATGCCCCCTACTGGGGATTGAACGGTCAACTCACATATATTCCCAGAAATAGAATTGCTGGATCATAAGGCATGTGCCCTGACTGGGAATCGAACCGTGACCTCCTGGTTCATAGGTCTGTGCTCAACCACTGAACCGCACTGGCCGGGCTGAAAAATAGACTTTTGCTTTGTCTCTTGACATAGGCCTAAAATTTCAGTATTCTGCTTCTTTCTTCCTGGCTAGGCATGTGTGTACCTGACCTTTTCTCCTCAACTTTTATTTAGCATTTTTATATAAGGCTAATATTTTCATCTTGGCTACTTTGATTTATTCTCTCTGAAGTCCTAATGCATTTTTGTGGGGATTAACACCCCACCCCCACCCCCAAACCTTTTGAGGTATGGGATGACCCTCCAACCAACTAGCCACCTAGCCAGGGCAATTTTTTGGAGATTTTGAAAGCTGACTCCTTCTATGGTATCTGAAAGACTCTTCTGCCTAGCTTTATTGTGTGAAGATTTTTCTTTTTCCCATTTTTTTTTCCACACAATGTATGTTAATGGCTTGTCGGTTGAAAAAAAAGGTGATTATAATCCACAGGAATACTTTATATTTTGTGGTACCAGTGGAAAAGTACTGACTTTGGTTTTGGAAGACCTTATTTAATATCCTACTTAGTAGCTGTGTGATAGAAATTTGAGCAAGTCAGCTTCCTTAATGTGTAAAATGAGAAAATAGTATTTACCTATGGTTGTAAGAATCAAATTAAATAATAGATAAAAAGTATTTTCTAACTTGGAGGTTTGAAAAAAATTCTAATTTAGAATTTGATATCAACATAATAAGCTAATGGTATTAAATAATTTTAGGACTATCTTTGAGCTGAGCTAGTCTAGCCTCTCATTTAATAACAGAAAGTCAGTTTCACATGTTTATTTATTGGAAGAGCCAGGATTAAAATCTTTTCTCTAATTCCACATCCAGGACTTTATATTTTAATTGAATTTACTGGGGTGACATTGGTTAATAAAATTATATAGGTTTCAAATATATAGTTCTACAGTACATCAGCTGTATATTGCATTATGTCATCATCACCTTAAGTCTTCCATTACCATTTATTGCCCTTTTACCCTAATCTACCTCTCCCCAATCCCTTTTCCACTGGTAATTACTGTTGTCTCTGTCTATGAGGTGTGTTTTTTTTCTTTGCTTGATCCCTTCACCTGTTCCCCCAAGCCCTCAACCCCCTTCCCTCTGACAGCTGTCAGTCTGTTCTCTGTACCTATGAGTCTGTTTCTATTTTGTTTGTTAGTTTTGTTATTTAGATTCCACATATAAGTAAAATCATATGGTACTTGTCTTTCTCTGGCTGGCTTATTTCACTTAGCATAATGTTCTCCAAGTCCATCCATGATATCACAAAAGGTAAGATTTCCTGCTTTTTTAATAGTATGGGTGAGTAGAATTCTATTCTGTAGATGTGTCAGTCTGTTCCATGTATCCATGCCTCTGGTTGTATTTTGTTTGTCGGTTTATTTTGTTCATTAGAGTCCACATATTTTTATCTACTCATCTATTAATGGGCACTTGGACTACTTCCAAATCTTGGCTATTGTAAATAGCCAAGTTTTTCTGGTTTCTTCAGATATATTCCCAGAAGTGGAATTGCTGGGTCATAAGGCAGTTTCATTTTTAAATTTGTTTTTATTGTTGACATTATTACAGATGTCCTCCATTTCCCCCCCCCCCTTTGCCACCTCCACCCAGCCCCTGGCCCCCCCCCTCCTCTGGCCTGTTG